CCTGCACCTACTCCGCAACCCATAACACCTCTTATTCGCCAATGGGGATGGCGACACCTTTCATTTTTGTACTCTTTTGCCAAGTCCAATGGTGCCTCCCTTAATGTCCAATTGTGTTACATGCATGCAGATATGTAACCCCCTAGGCTACCACCTATCCTGCGCCTACTCTGTACCTACATTGTAACGTGTAAGTCTCCTCCCATCACCTCCAATAGTGTTACATGCATTCAGGCATGGCATCCCAAAGTTTGTCATGTAGCCTGCGCCTACTCTGCAACCCATGACACCTCTTATTCGCCAATGGGGATGGCAACACCTTTCATTTTTGTACTCTTTCACCAAGTCCAATGGCGCCTCCCTTAATGTCCAATCGTGTTACATGCATGCAGATATGTAACCCCCTAGGCTGCCACCTAGCCTGCCCCTACTCTGCACCTACACTATAACTTGTAAGTCTCCTCCCATCACCTCCAATAGTGTTACATGCATTCAGGCATGGAATCCCAAAGGCTGTCACGTAGCCTGCGCCTACTCTGTAACCCATGACACCTCTTATTCGCCAATGGGGATGGCGACACCTTTCATTTTTGTACTCTTTCGCCAAGTCCAATGGCGCCTCCCTTAATGTCCAATCGTGTTACATGCATGCAGATATGTAACCCCCTAGGCTGCCACCTAGCCTGCGCCTACTCTGCACCCACACTGTAACTTGTAAGTCTCCTCCCATCACCTCCAATAGTGTTACATGCATTCAGGCATGGCATCCCAAAGGCTGTCACCTAGCTTGCTCCTACTCTGCAACCCATGACACCTCTTATTCGCCAATGGGGATGGCGACACCTTTCATTTTTGTACTCTTTCGCCAAGTCCAATGGTGCCTCCCTTAATGTCCAATCGTGTTACATGCATACAGATATGTAACCCTCTAGGCTGCCACCTAGCCTGCGCCTACTTTGCACCTACACTGTAACTTGTAAGTCTCCTCCCATCACCTCCAATAATGTTACATGCATTCAGGCATGTCATCCCAAAGGCTGTCACCTAGCATGCGCCTACTCTGCAACCCATGACACCTCTTATTCGCCAATAGGGATGGCGACACCTTTCACTTTTGTACTCTTTAGCCAAGTCCAATGGCGCCTCCCTTAATGTCCAATCGTGTTACATGCATGCATGTAACCCCTTAGGCTGCCACCTAGCTGCGCCTACTCTGCAATAATGACACTTCTCATGCATGCATGCACCAGCTACCACCTCACTTACTCTATGAATTTTTTTTGCCTATAAATACAGAGCATAACATACTTCTCTCACACCCACAATCGTCTCACTCTCTGCTACGAAGTCTTTCATAATCTCTTACACTTTCTAAGTCTTTCATAATCTCAGGCATTTTCAACAATGGCTCTTCTAACAATGGGCAATTCTCACAGAGGCACAAGGGACAACATTGCCGCATTTGTAAGTTTCTATTTTGGTTATAAATTTTTTATACTTCAGGTAATGCTTTGTTCATCTTACTTAATCTTACACCTTTTACATTATTAACTCAGGATACTAAAAGATTCAGAATCCGGTCTCATAACTACCTGGCTCCCGACCCATTTATCGTACCATATCTGGAATATGCAGGTTTCGGACATGTTATAAAGATCTCCAACTGCACAATTGATTCGAAGTTCATTATTGTAATGTTGGAAAGGTGGAGACCAGAGACCCATACATTTCACCTACCAATAGGCGAATGTACCGTCACGCTAGAGGATGTGTACATGTTACTGGGTCTCCCTGTCGATGGTAAGGCCGTTAACGGGTCGGTTCAACAATCCAATTCTCAGTGTGAAGAATTGTTAGGCATGGATATGGTTGAAGGTGGTGGTGCGAGAGGTCAGGGTATACTACTCACTGAGCTTAAAAATCATTATGCAAGTTTGGAATTAAACGAAAATTCCTCCGAGCAAGACAAGATAGTAAAAGCCAGAACTTATCTAATGATACTATTTAGAACCTTTTTATTTCCCGAAAGTATGGGAAATAGTGTAAATTTTATGTATTTACATTTACTTAGAGATTTTGAAAAAACAAGAAAGTATAGTTGGGGTTCTGCAGTTTTAGCCCACCTATACAGTTCCTTGTGCAAAAATGCAGTCAAGGAAAAATGTACATTTTATGGCTGCGTTTTTTTACTACAAGCCTGGGGTTGGTGGAGGATGGAGTCCTTAAACCCCGTCAACAACAACACTTTCATTTTCTCGTACGTAATAAAGTAAGTCATCAAGTTATATCATTTATTACTATTCATCTCTTCACCAAATATATGCTAAAAATAAAATGTTTTTCATTTCCTTTAGGTATTGCGTGAGGGGTATGGATTACGGCAAGAATCCAAGATTCAATGTCGCACTATACCGCAATCTGTTGGATCACCTAGGCCCGGATGATGTACGTCGTACCTTTAAACTTTTCTTCATTTAAATTATTTATATATTACGTTTTCATTAACCTGATTTAATTTTTTTCGCAGTTTGTTTGGAGACCATATTTGGGTTTGGGCCATGAACCAAACCCCGAGGATGCAGCAATTTGGAGCGCCAAGACTGCAATCATACGGTTCAATATTGTGGAGATGCACCACAGCGACCGTGTGAAGATGCAGTTCGGAATGCATCAAGAGATACCAAGTGATCTGACTTGTTTGTCCCCGTGGCATCTCAAAAGGGTTGACGCCCAGTGGGGTCTTACCAACTGGAAAGACTTTGCTCTAGAATGGTGTAAGATGTGGCAGAGGCGTCACCGACATGTCTTGCAATTCTCAGTTTTCCTCAATCATGGTAATATGCGACACACGGATCAATATTTATCTTGGTACAGGTCGGTTAGTAACCCTGAAATGCACGTGTCTCATCCAAGGTATTTGGTTGACCCACGAACACAATGGGCACAACCCTCGTTTCCCCAACAACAAACCCAACACACATCAACCTCCCACCAACCCCCCAGACAAAACAGAACCACAAACACCCAACCACAGTCCCCACCACAACACAATTACACGCAAATGCCCCACAACCAACCACAATCACCACCTCAGTACCAATACCCCCATATGCCTCACACCCAACCGCAATACCAATCACAATACCAACACACCCGCATACCCCACACATAATTTCAGTCTTCCGTATATCCCAATATGGGCCCCTCAACATCCAGCCTTAGCCCTGATCTGGGAATGTCGGAAGATTACGAACCAACCGACCCAACTTACCATCAACCACGGTATCACCAAACCACCCAACATCCTCAATACCAAACACCCCAAGATCCATTTCCTTTCTACCCCCCGTACTCAGACGATCAATGCTACAGACTCACCATGGAACCCCACCTACCGCCAACACGACCAAACTTTGAGGGTATGGGTAACCGACTGTACCAAAGCGGATCTTCTAGATATGGAGATCTGACTGATTTCATGGATCCGGAACGCATTGACTTCGCTGGGCCATCGATCCTGCCACAACAGGAAACGCGACGACACCCAGCACGGGAAAGGCGAGGACGGGGATGCGGAACCGGGGGGTCATTACCGGGTTCCGGGGGATCACTGATTTATTTGTTTTTTTAATCTATTTTTTTAATGTAATACATATGGGTGTAATCATTTTTTTATAATAAAAAGTCAATTTTGTTGATCTTGTATCCAATACGCAACACACCAGACTGGAAAAAAAACGCGAAATTTGCCCTAGAATTGCACTAAGGCGCCATCTCACTTGACTTAGAGCATGCCCTAAGCACCTAGGCGCCAAGTGAGATGGCGCCTCCCCTTAAATAATGGGTGTAGGCGCCAAATGAGATGGCTCCTCCTTTGAGGAGTCATCTGAAACATGATTATTTGCGTAATTTTTTCCGAAACGTGGTTATTTGCGCTTTTTTTTTTAATACATGGTTATTCAAAAAAAAAATCCGAAAGAGACCCATACAAATTTATTGTACTTAATGTATTTACACAACTTACATCCTCTATCTTCTTTATTATATATTAATTATTGAGAAAAATATCTATGGTAAGTTTTTTGGTAAGAAAAATATCTTTAATAAAAATTCAAATTGCAAAATAGTTTTTTTTTATTTTTTATATTCTTCTCTACCAAACATTTGCTGTCCCAACAGTTATAAAAAGAAGGTTGTTTTAACCCATTATAAATTAAACTAAGACCTTATCTTAGAATTGTTGATGTGCCCATTAATATTATTTCCATACCAAATTCAAATAGCCTTTAATGTGAGAGGTGTTTTCAAAATATTCAAGTTCCTTATTGACTATAGATAATCTTAGTTTAAGATTTTTAAGTCTAGACAAGTACTGCGCCACTTTACATGCACAATTTTGTGGGATTGAATTAAAAAAAGAAAAAAGAGGAGAGAGTCTAAACCGATGATGTTGATTCCTTAGCAACCCAAGAAATTGGATTGGCTCAATTTTATTTTTCTATGATGCAAGTTTACTTACTTAACAAACCCGTAGTAGTTGAACTTGAAGCAACCTTTATTTATTCTGTTTTTGTTTTTTCCGGAGACAACAAAGCAACTTTACAATCAACAAGTTAGTTGTAATAGTCATAGTCGTGGACTCATCATTAGAACTAATTAATTCATTTAAACAACCTAATTCTATTTTTTTTAAACACCAAATGCGAACTTCCAACTAACTCCACTCAATTGAACTTTGAAAGATTGAATTGATGAAAGAAAAAGAATTATTAATTTTTACAAGCTTCAAACCAAGTAACATACAAACACAAATGGAGAGTAAAATGGATGATAAATACCCAAAACACCTTAGGGTAAAATAACCAATATATAGAAAATGAACCAATTGTGTAACTAACATTATTATTACAATCTGAATGAAAGAAGAACCCAACTAAATAAATGGTAAAATTTGCAGAATCACAGTGCATTAACGATTTTATTATGAAAATCGACATGCACTAAGTGGATAATGATGATGAAGAGCCTTTACAATATTGAACACTGCTCTCATTCATCCTTTCCAAAACATAATGCCCCATACTTCCACTTGCTTCCAACAAATTCTCTTTACACAAAAACTCATTCCCACAAACCTGTTCCACTTCACCAGAAAAATCATGCAAGAAAACATGAGTTTTAGGGTTTCCACCTTTCTTACTTCTAGCCAACACACCGGCCGTAAATATCGCGGACATTCTTCCGGGAGCTTCCGGCCAATCCCCGCGCGGTCCGTCAACCAATATAACATCCCAATCAACCTCATAAACATGGTTTGGAAGATCATTGATTCCGAGTTTACAATCCGAGAATAAAAGATTCTGCACCGGCTTACATTCATTTGCTACATGCTCTTTAGCAGAAGCTATTAACTCTTTCATCTCACTCCTTTTCGTTGTATATTGAACATCATAAGCATCAATCTCAGGGTGTTTTTCTTCTATATACGCTGCGTAGTATCGGTTTTCATCGATGAAGACTGTTTTTCCATTATGGTTAAGTGCTTTCCATAGAAGTGTCTCTGGCGTTAGACCGAAAACGAGCAAGTTACACGGCGATGAACATTTTCGAAGCACGTCGGAGATTGGTTTGAGATCTGAATATGTCATGTGGTAAGTGTCGTTTGATTTCGAAGCATAGTGAATAAGAGTGTTGATAACTGTTGCTGGTAATGGTGCAGAAACAGCGTTGGTGCTACTAATAACAGATGAAATTATGGAAGTGTTTGTGTTGTTTAAGGTTGATTCTCTGTCTCTTGTGTAAATCAGTGTTGCAAGGAAAGCTAAAGTGAGAATTGATATGAATGCTAGAAGCCATAATCGATTCGAGTTTCCTTGTTTTTGGATATATGGATGAAGAAGAATCAGTTTTGTGTTGGTGTTTGTGTTCTTCATTTTGGTATACAGTTTTTGAGGGTGGAGTGTAAGAGATTCTGAAAATTTGAGAGAATTTGAAAACAAGGTTTGTTTTTAAAGAAGTATAAGAGAGAATTGAAACAATGTGAAGTAAAAGAGAAACAAAAAATTAAATATTTTATTGAATGTGACATTTATTGAAGGCATGAAAATAACGTTTGATTAATTTGTGTTAGACTTGAATATGATTATTCTTAATGTGGTTTGGTATTTTGTGTTCGAATGAAATAATTAATTCCTAATGTGGATAGTTTTGTTAATGAAGGCAGGTTAATGTTGAACTAAAAATAATGTTAAGGGGGGTGGGAATAGTAGTAGGGTTAGGGTGGTTGGAAAAGAGATAAATTAGAGAATAGGTGTAGTAGTGACCTCGTAACTAATTACAAGCAAGAAGTCGCTTTTACTTGTTGAATTTTAGATTTTGTTCCTACGTAACCAAACTCTAGAATATTGGTAATATACTTGGACAAATAGCTACCTATGAAGGAGACAAAGTACCTGCAATTAGTAATTCATTTCTTGTAACACATGTTATTATCGTGTAGTATTTAGTTTTGTAGTGGACAATGGACAAGTAAGTATATACTTATTATAATCAAGTATTTGGGTGGAAAAGAAATTTTTACGAATCGTTTATCCAAACTACGAAATTAAATTAATCGATTTATTATATCAATCAGAATTGATTAGTTAAATAAAAAAACTACGAAATTAAATTAATCGATTTATTATATCAATCGGAATTGATTAGTTAAATAAAAAAACTACGAAATTAAATTAATCGATTTATTATATCAATCGGAATTGATTAGTTAAATAAAAAAAGTATATACATTATAGTCTTAGTAATTAAATTAATCTCACGTATATGGTTTTTCATGAGCATGCTCGAGACATCTAATGTCTTTGGAGAAAAAAGAGTACTCACAAAGATCTTTATATCTCTAGGATATAGAAGTATTTTGAGATGTTCTTTCAAAGAAAAAGAATCTCATCAAAGAATGAATTGTTAATAATACAATAAGCATGAGAGAAGTAGAAGACTATTTAGAAAACACAATGATTGTCTTCTATGATTCTACTACTATATAATTGATTTACAAAAACCTATAAAACTAATAAGGTGCATTTGAATAATAAGTTTTGAGGAATTATCGAAAACTCAAATGTTAAAATTCAATTCCCTTTATTTCTAAAGCTCTTTTCTATAGAATGATAAAATTCATTATTATTAAAAAGTTTAAGTTAAAACATTTATTTTGAAAAATAAGAACAAACTTGAAATTTTTTTGAAAAAATTTAAGGTTTAATTTAAAATTTTAAAATATATATATATGAACCAACTTGCAAAATTTAAAAGAATAATAAAAATCAATTAGATATTTATATTATAGAGTATTATAGAGTATAGAGAAGTTTCAAACCTCTAATTTTTAGGTGTTATTTGGAAATTTATAAATTTAACTTGGATAAACTTTTTTATAAATTTTTATTAGAGTTGTTCGCGGTTCGGTTTGGATCGGTTTTAAGACAAAAATTAATTCGATTCAAAGATAAATTTTTTGCGGTTCAATTCGGTTTTAGATGATATATTAAAAAAATTCAATCCAATCTGATTCAATTTTATGTGATTTAATTTAAATCAGTTTTTGTATATCCAAATTACACATTATATTTTTATTAATATTATAAAACTACTAATAAATCATAGACTTGATATAATATATAACATATATTATATTAAAAGTTAATATTACAAAATGAGAGTGATCGATTATGGTTGAAATAATAAAAATAAATGGATTATACCAAACTAATAAATATTATTAAAAAAATTATTATCATCTAATAATAAATTCATGTAACATATCATACTAATAAAAAGTAAATAAGTATAAAAATACATATGCGGTTCGGTTTGGTTTGGATCAGTTTTGAAAAGTTAATCTGAAATGATCGGTTTTCATAAAATAACATCCAAACACATCCAATAAATTTCAGTTTTTTGCAATTTTCGATTTTTTAATCGATTTTCAATTTTTTATTTGGATTGGTTTAGATTTGAACACCCATAATTTTCATTATTTTTAATATTCTCCAAACATTTTCTTCAGAACATTAGAACTTACTAAAAGGAGTTTAAATCCAACAGTTTCATTTGAAATTACACAAAGGCATAGTCACAAAATTTGAATAAAACATGAACATAACACCATGAACAATACACATCACAATGTCAATGCATAAACGGTTGATTCATGAAATGCAATAAAAGTCAACATCATTGACGTGTTAAAAAAGAAACCAATAACTCTAGCGGAGGACATATACATTCAGAAAGTTGTATTACTATTACTAACCACAATGCGAGAAAGATGAAGAAATATATCGTACTTTGAAGAGGAGAAAGAGACCAAGAAATGATTTTTGTTCTTAGAAACGAATAAAGAGGGTGAAGATTAGAAATTCCAAATGAATTAAAATGGTGAAGATGAAGATTTCGCTACCGCCGTCGTCTGGTTCGCTAGGGCATGTGTTATGAAGAAAATAAAAAACATGTTATGTTTTAAATTTGCAGTAAAGAATTTCACCACGGTTTTTAATACCAATCATAGTGAAATATGACACATCTAATCACAATTGTTAAAAATAACTATAGTTAATTGTTTTTCAATTTTTATTTCACAATATAATTAAGTGACAAACGCTTTTTTTATAGAAAAAATGAAAAAATGTTGATGTTGGAAATCGAAGCTTGTAACCCTTGATCTATCACCATGTTTACTATTATGAACCGTGATGAAAAGTATTTTAATAAAATAAAATAAATGAGGCGTATAAAAATAAGATATTATTACAGTTGCATAGTGGCCATAGTAATATGATGTTATCAAAAATATATTTTGTAGTAGTGGAAAATAGTCTTCACATCAAGTTTTTCAGCCTGTAGATTCAAGTTAGAGGCTAATCTTATTACAACTATAATCTAATTCATTCTCACCATAGGTGAGAAAATTTCTTCAAATTCAATACCTTTCTCTAATTAAAATCTTTCACAACCAATCTTATTTTGTATCTTGGTTGAGATTTATTCTTTTCGAACTTTATCATGTATAACACTATATTATTTAGTTCTTTTTTTCTTAGATAATTTCACCAACTCAAATATATGATACTTAGGCAAGGAATTTATTTCTTCTTGTATGGACTTCAACCATTATTCTTTATAAAAACCTGAAATGATCTCTTGGTAGTAGTTTAGATTTTTACTTATCACTGATCATCAAATATTCATGTAGAGGATATCTCTGAGAAACTCGATGTTCTCTAATATATCTTCTCAACTCAAGCTCAATACATAACTTAGTTGGAGCATATTCAACAAGCTCATCATGATAAGGTTCATGGTCATTATTCACATTCTCATCATCTACCTTTTTATATCTTCCATTAACAAAATTTTCATGGGGATATTTAGACACAACATCAATGTAATTTCTAGCATTAGATTTTGGCCTCTCAGCTTTACCAAAACCTTTAATAGTTTAGTCTTCGAGAAATATCACATCATGATTTTTTCTAATAATTTTCTTGTTAATTGGATCCCTCAATCTATAACCAAACTCTTCATGACCATAACCTATAAATACACATTATTTATATCTTTTATAAAGGTTTGATCTCTCATATCTTGAAATGTGAATAAAAGCCTTACAACCAAACACTCTCAAGTAACCATAAAAGATTTATTTTCTTGTCCATACTTTGTTTATAACATCACCATCAAGTGGAATATAAGGAGAAAAATTAATCAAATCCATTACATTTTTCAATACTTCACCCCCAAAAGACTTTTGATAAATTTGCATGAGAAAGAAAACTTCATTATGTTGAGGCATCTTTGGAATAGTCTTATCAAGCTTGTGTCGTAACCGGAATAAAATATTGAGAGTCGCAACCATTAATTTTTCATCTTAAGATGGGAATATAACGGAATAACCCTAATTGTTGATACAGAGATTCTAAGTCTTTACTCACGATAGATGAAGGGAAGGTGTTAGACACTCTTCATATACCTTGTTCACAAGGATATAAGGGGTTAGCTTTAAGGTTCAGGAATATGGTTTTAATTTTTAATTAGGGGAATTCGCCACGGTTTTAAAGTCGTATGCCTACGTATCCTCTTATGAGGAATTAGAGTCCTAATTCGTAGTTCGTAGTGTTTGGTTGTATTTTTTATGGATTGTGGAAATCCCTTAGATTCTACTTGAACCAAGTCTGATTTGAAGTTAGCGAAATCGTAGACGTAGTTCGCAATCTATGAAAAAGAAGTTTCCAAAATCCTTTTTTAAATAAATATAAATTTGAGTTATGTTAGTAAAAAACAGTTAGTATTTGATTAGTTAGATGTTTTTCGAGTATATGATGCAATATGAGAAAAACAAGTTTTAATGAATGAGGAAAATATTTAATGCAAACATAAAAGAAAAATAGTTAGTATTTTAGAAAATAATTTAATTGATAAATAAATATTTCCAAATTATTAATAACAATTTTTAATACCATAATTATTTGTTAACATTTTTGTGCAAAAAGATATTTAATGCAAATTATGTTAATAACAATATGTGTAAAATAGAAAATAAAATAGGTTAAATAAATAAATTAAATTTGGGATTTTTAGACTCAGGGGGGTGCAAAACGTAAACTTGGGGGTGTTAAACTTAAGGGCCCAAGTCCAGATATTGGACTTGGCCCAAAAATGCTAGAAGGGGTGTATGCTGCGTTAGAGTAGCAAAAAGTGGGGGTGTGAATAGATTGGGCTTGTGGTGTATGAGAAATTAGTCTAGGCCCAAAATAAAATCTTAGCCCAAATTGATAGGGGGTGTATTCTGTAACTGGCAAGAAATATAGGGGGTCTGGTAAGTAAGGATCCAAGTTCAGATATTGAACTGGGCTCAAATGCAGACACAGGGGTG